GCCACGGAGGTTCAAGATAACCTCAAGAACATTCTACCAGTTCTGCCCATATGAGAAGACTTCCAGGGCAAACAATCTGAGTTACCTACAGTTAGATAATCCACAAAACCTGATTAACTCTTTCAGAGCTTTGTCAGACTTGGAACAAGCTAATATTATTCAAAGACTGGATGATTTAAGAGAAACTTTAGTTGCAACACGTAAAGTAGCCAAACCACTAATCAATTTGGTTTTATCAACTACCCAAGGCAATTGTAATAACTTTGAGAGAAGGTTTTCCCACAGGATTTTTTTTTTTAAAAAGAAAGAAATGAAGCCGGACTGGTGGACTATGGTAAAATAATATCTTTTAACTTTGGTGATCCTATCCTCAAAGTTTAAGGAGGAGCTAGATCAGAAGGACATGTCTGCCATTGCTTTGCATATCTATAAATAAAAGAAAGAGTTAAATTAGACAGAGTTATAGGTTTGACTTTGTTAAAAATGAATTGGAAATCTTACTGTGTGGTAGTGATGAACATATTATTGCTAAGGTCTGGAAAACGTTATTGAATTTAAATTTGGAAAGTGATCATGTAAAGCATTGTATGGTTCAGTAGGCAAGGCATTTTGGATATAATGTAATGCTTGAACAATGGAAGAACATGTGGGAGAAAGGTTTAAAATTTACATTAAATTACAATTTAAAAGAAAATTTCTAAAGGATGATGTTGATATTTAACTCCAGACAAGTTATTAAGGATGTATAAAGGCATTTGAAATGAATGTTGGAAATGTAAATGTAAAGGGGAACTTTTTATCATTTATGGTGGACATGTGACAAAGCCAAGTAATATTGGAGTAGGATTCATATTCTAATCAGTAAATTCTTAAAGTGAATATAAAGATAAAACCAAAAACTTTTCTTTTGGGCTTAATGGAAAAGAGTTGGGGGGGGGGGGAATTGAACTTTGTTGCTATATATGTTGATGGCAGCAAGACTACTTTATGCACAAAAATGGACGGACATTTCGACCCCAACAATAGATGAATAGCTGCAAAAGTCAATGGCTAAATTGACTGTTTTGATCAAGGGAAAAAACACAAATACTTTTGTTTCTACCAGGAAACCGCTTCTGGATTTTGTGCTTGCTGTAGAAAAAAAAACAAAACTTTGATTTTGGATTTTACTGATTAGATAGATATGTTGTCATAAAAATGGCTAGTTTAAACTGTCATGTAAAGTTGTGGTTTGATGTTAATATTCTATTCTACTCCACCAAAGGGAATCTGAAGTCAATGCCTTTTTTTTTTCTTTTTGGTCCCTAGTTCACACTTTTCCCCCCTTTTCCCTTCCCTATTTTTCCTACTATTTGCTTTTGGATATTTTTTTTTGTATGTTATATTATAAACCAATAAAATTATTTAAAAAGAAAGGCAGAGAGGACTTGTTGACCTCCTGGCTCCCTCTTCTGACTTGTGGAACCTAGATAAGTTGAGCATCAAGACAGATCCTAGAACACATCCAGATTCTTTCACCCTTGTGTTAAAATAGCACAACATTCATAAATACAGAGGATTAAAAAACGGGATGTTGTTTATAATTAAGGGGAAGGTTGTGACTGCCTAAAATCATGGGAAGCACAACTAGAATTAAGTGGTGGACCACACCAAGAACATCAATGGATATTTGCAACCCAACACACCCAATAACTGAATATTCTCCAGCTTTCCAGGCAAACCTCTGCTTTAGGAATCACAGAAAAATATGACAAAGGTAGCACCTAAAGCAGAAAGACCATCATCGCCCAGGCTGAACCCAGCTCCTCTGGCCAATGATATAGACTTGAAACAACAATTTGCCAATGTTCACTATTACATGTGCAAACAATTAAAAAACTACCTGATTCCATAGAGTAGCAAAAGAACAGCAACGGTATGCCAAATTACAGCCAGCACCTGTCTAGGTACTGACAGAATTTTGGACTGCATCTCACCTGTAGAAGACTGCATGAGTCATACTATCAAACCACAGACCTCAATACATTGTGAGTTACCCTTCTGGTAATAAACAAGGAAGTTCTATTCAACTACTGATAAGGAAATGTAACTGGATGGAAGAACATAGTGTCAAATGGAGATCTGATGGAATTTCTTCCAAATTCAACATCATAGTACTCCAAGAGACGTGGTTAACTATGAGTGATGAAAATGTTCACCTACCAGGCTGCAAATCATGGTGTCATGCAGAAATTCAAAGCAGAAGGGTAGCCTCTGAGGAAAATATATGCAATTGAGAAGACAGAATTGGGCTGCCCACAGTAGGAACTGACCCTCAGAGAAGACCCCATCTATCTTTTAGATATTCAATTTAAGTATAAATCATCTGAAGTTGTGTTGCTAACTGTACATCTACTTTCCTATTCTTTTCCCCGCTTCTCCCAACATCTGAGTACAATTAGAAAAGATAGTCTTAGAGATAAATATAAAACTTCCCAAAGCTATGTGATCCTATTGGAAGACTTTTATGCTAGTGTGGAAACTTCTTTGCATTATTATGCCCATGCCTGAGGATTATTTATTAAATGGCCCACTCTGGCAAACAAGAGACTCTAAAATGAACATGGTGGTCTCTTAAATTGATCTCCTTTATCTATACCTGCAATCTTCATATCCTAGGAGGCAAAAGTAGTTGAGTGGTGGGTTCCTAACCGGTTTGCTACCGGTTCACTAAATGTGCACAATTGAATGAAAATTAGTCAGAAAAAAGGAGAACAGCTGAGAAGTGGTAATTCAAGCTGCTGCCCCAGATCATCTGGGCTTTGGAAGCTGGAAGAAAGGTAAGTATAACCCACTTAAAAAAAACAACAACAGAGGACCGGTTCACACTCTGTTTGAAGGCAGCACTTCCGGTTCAGAAGAACTGGTCCAAATCAGTAGGAACCCACCTCTGAGGAAGTTGCTTCATATATCACTTTATGTGAAGTGATATATGAGAATACTAGTTTAATGCTAATGCTAGTTTTAATGCTAAATGCTAATTTTTAGAATAAATTCTCCTGATTTACATATGTGTCTCAACAGACACAATCATCTTATTTTCAGACATCCAACTTTACATGATGGAGGATGATGGCGGCCATCAACCAACTGTAGTTAACTTTTATGGCAATTCTTATTTAAGACCATCCTGTACAATACAATAAGAGACTACTTGCTAATTTTGAAGTGAGGCAATATAGGAGGCTCAAGTGGCTTACATGGCAATGGTTGAGGAATTGCCAGCTTCGTGAACTCTGAAATTGCCCAGTCTTTGGTGAAAATACTCAAGACCCAAATGGAAATTTTACCAGGTATACCATCTGTGTTACATGTTTTTTAAAAAATAGAAAAAATGCCAATTAAAAACAGACAGCCCATAAAATCTAATTGGTTCAACAGATTGCTCCCAAGAAAGAAACCTCCACACCAAAGAACCACATCAAGACATCAAACTTAAATGCAATTACAATAGCCACTGAGAAGGCTGAATGCACAGTTGCAGTTTGGTCTGAGCAAGAAAATCAGGAAAATGATTCAGTTTAGTCATATTTTGGAATATAGTATCTAGCATGCTGAAGGAGTGTAAGCTTCTATTTGATATCCCCATCTTAGCTATGTTTTAATACTAACTTATTTACCAACTCCAAAGAGGATCATCCAGAAATGATGACTACTGAGTTTTTGACCCTTGATAATCTCCCTCCTTGGCCACCAGTGTCAGTGACATAAATTAAACACATTATTCAGTCACTGTAACCCAACAAGGCTCCTAGTGAAGTCTTCCTAGTCTCAGAACTTTTCAGGATATATATATATATATATATATATATATTGCCAGGTATATGTAGATCTGTGTGTGTTTATGTATGTGTGTGTGTGTGTGTGTGTGTGTGTATATATAT